GGATCAGCATATGTCATCGTTTGTCGTTTCATTTTTTTGGCAGTGCAACTGTCTTTGGAGTTTCCACAGAATCGATGCAGTTATCCTATGACTCCAGAGGTAACAGTGTGCCAACAATAATCTTGCTAATGCAAAGGCGTTTATATGCTCGAGGAGGCTTGCAGGTTTTCTTTCTTTTCTCAATCCTCTCCCTCTTCAATATGCTATATAGCTCCATAATTGGAGAACATAGACGTCTCGAACATTCTCTCTTATATATATGACCGAAACATATTGGCTTCACTACATGCAGGCAGAAGGGATCTTCAGAGTCAATGCTGAAAACAGTCAGGAAGAGTATGTCAGAGAACAATTAAATGGTGGAGTGGTTCCAGAAGGGGTCGACATACATTGTTTGGCGGGACTAATCAAGGTATGGCGATGCCGTTTTAATCTCACCTGATCTTTCCTTCACTTACATTTGATGTATGTGATTATGGAGTTGAATGAAAAGATGAATTAACTGCGAATAGTTTTCTAGAAATATCTCTAATGTAAATTTTATCCAGGTACGTCTGCAGGGAAATGTCATTGTATTTTCTTCTTCTTTTCCTTTTTATTATCGAACCCGAATATGCTAATTTGATGTTGGTTTATTGTTAGGCTTGGTTCAGAGAACTTCCCACTGGTGTTCTGGATTCTTTATCTTCAGAGCAGGTAATGCAATGCCAGACCGAAGAACAGTGTGCTGACCTTGCACGACTTCTAGCCCCAACAGAATCTGCTCTACTAGATTGGGCCATAAATCTCATGGCTGATGTTGTTCAGCAAGAACATCTAAACAAGATGAATGCACGTAATATAGCTATGGTTTTTGCTCCAAACATGACTCAGGTGAGTTCACCATAATGCTCTCCTTAAGTTCACATCCACATTGGTTATCCATAACAAGAACTTCTTGAGCAAAGCCTTTCGTTTCTATCAATATTGATGACATATTGTGCCGATTAACGATGGCCTGGTTGCAGATGGCAGATCCTTTGACGGCATTGATGTATGCAGTCCAAGTGATGAACTTCCTCAAGACACTCATCTTAAGGACCCTGAGAGAAAGAGAGGATTCGGTGGTAGATCCAACTCCCGCATTCCGTTTGGAGCCTTTCGACGAGAACGGAGATCAAACCCCTTCACTCTCCTGCATCCAAATACTGAAAATGATAATGAAGAGAAAGAGCTGGCCTTTCTCGCTGAAGAGCCTTCAAACGAAAGTTTCAGGAATTGTAGTCAAAACAACGAGATCCCAAATACCGAAGATCACAGCCTGATGCGCACTGTTGACAAGCTAATTACTGATGCAGATCATCCCAATGAGACTGAAACTTTTATCACTGAAACCGATGCCATTGTATCCAACAACCTGAAACCTGCAACTCTGGTGATTGATGGAAAGACCAACAATATTGGCCAATCTAGTAATTCATGTCTCAAGGAGTCCAACAAAATCATCGATCTGCGATCGATACTTCAGATGACAAACACTGTTGACAAGACCAAAGGGATAACCAACTTGAGCCGTATAGATTCAAGGATAGAACGCATCGAATCATGGCGTTGAAGGGTACTCAACAACGGTTGAACCCTAACTGATACTTTGACATATGATTGCTGTGAATGTTTGTTTATTTTGCAAGTTGTGAAGGGAAAAAAAGGCAAATTTTTTCTTGCATCTTTTCAGTGTGATGACTGGTTTGCTTAAACCTTGTGACCCTAACATTTCTACTTAGACACGGAAATTACCACCGGAGTTCGACGAATTCCGGTATCTATTTTCTGTTTTACTTTCATGGATTACGATCTCTTTTGTATAATGACCACTAAATTAAGTCATAGCACTTAAACCACCAATCCTTATTATGCTCCACTAGAAGAGGATTCCATTGATCTTTTCAACTCTTTTTACAGAGCACTCAATTGACTTTAACATATAATCTCTTTATAGTTCCTTCTTTCTTGCTTCCATTCCCCCAGCTCTCTTCTCTCTCTATGAGTAATAATCATCTTTCGAAAGAGATTAGTGGAGAGCCAGCCCATGGCTGCCTCTGGAGGCCTTAAGCACATCTTCGAGCACACGATACCAGAAGCCCCAACACTGTTTGGGACATCTTCTTGGAAACAAATCAAGCCTTCTTCTCAAATTCAACCGATCGAACAATCTTCCATAACCGAAATCTTCGGCGAGCTTCATTTCAAGGAGAACTCCAAGTTGCCATCACCTTCCTTCCCTATCTCACCCTTTTCTTCAGCAATATTGAACCTCTCTTCCAGGGAAGATGAAGACATCATCCTTAGTTCTAGCAGCCCAACAGTGCTCCGTAAAAAGAATTTTTCGTCGAACTCGGAGGGCCTGCAAGTGTGCACCGAAGGGCTCGGTTCCGAGAGCTGTGACAACGCCTGGGACAACGACACTACAAATGATATGAAACAAGAGTGGCAAAGCTGCAAGGAGAAGATAGATGAAGCAAGCGGCATAGTGAATGGAAAGAGAGGGAACATGCATGGTGAATTGAAGGCCGTTAAGTTGAGAAGATCGACCGGTGTCGGAGACTTTCCGCCGCGATTTCATGCATAGGGAAGAATGGGAAGCCGGTGGTTTCGTTCAAATCTTACAGGCAAGATGGGAGGTTCGTGCTGAAACAGGTGAGGACCCCTACGCAAGAGTTGTTGCATGCATGTAGGGAGGATGGTAGGTTGAAGCTGCAGTTTATGCAGACAGATGATGAATCAATGAAACACCAAGGATTTGATGAAGAAGGACATTTGATGAATGATGAAATTGATGATGCCGGTAAAGATAAAAGGCAAGCCTCATAAGATTAATCCATGTCATAAAAAGAACAAAGAAAAGAGGAAAGGGTGAAAGGTTGATTTGCATTCATGTAATAAAAAGGACGAGAAACAACATTCCCCAGTGTATTATAGTCCTCAAAGGGAATTGCAAGTTAATTAAAAGAGTGCTAAGAATTTACTATTTTAATGTTGTATTTACGTTTAATTTATGTTAAAATAATGTTTATTTATGATCATGAACTTCAAACATAGATAATAAAACCAACATGAAAGATAAAAAATAAAATAAATTGTCTTTTTCTTTCAAAATTTAGAAAGAACAAAAAACAAAACATTAAATACGGGAATTGCATGAAGCCCCAAAGAGCATGTTGGGTTCATTATCATGAGATCCAGCCATAATATGTCACGTTCTAAACTAAGCCCTATAACAGCTTATTTATACTAGTCTTGTGAACAGAATTCTTTTCTCTCAAGTTATGTTTCTAACCTTAAATTTAACCCTCTACAAAACTAATGCTCCAAAACAAACATATGATACTTAATGAGTCTACTACAAAGGAGGAGTCCATAGAAGAAGGCTCTATAGCGGAGGAGACTACGGTAGACTGGTAGAGGATGCCAGTGGACGATGTCTCATCAGGAGAGTGTCAGAGATAACAGAGACGAAGCTAGGATATCAGCGTAAGGGAACAAAGTTTAGTTAAAAATAGAATATAGAGGACTAAATTAAAATAAATTAAAATTTAAAGATTTAAGTAGGTATTTATCTTATATATTTTTCAATTATAAAAAAATCAGAGGGCAGTGCCTCTTGAGAAGCATAGCTTCATCCCTGCGACAGAGGACACTCTCAAAACATATTATCAGAAGATTTCATATGAACGAACATGATAAAGATTTAGGTGTATTACTCGATGATTGTTAATGTGGTCGTGTTGATCTTATTTGATACTCGACCATGTGTAGTGTAGGGTAACTGACCAAATATCTGTGAATTGTGATACTTGATATTGTGTGGTTCAATTTAACACCGTATGAAGAGCTGTGCAACAATGATATGATGTTATGTGGTCCAAACACCGGACTGCTTTACTACCTCATGCTATATGGTCCAAATACCATGTGTATTAATGTCTAATATTTTGTGGTCCAAGATTGGATTGAGCATTGGTCTGATACTGCGTGGTATGTACCTTATGATCATACTACTATTAAGTTGTGTTGCATGATGTTTATATTAGTAGTGACTAATGATATGTTGTTATCACGAGACGTATGTTAAGATGATTGATGCTTGTTTTCATATATCCATGCTTATACTTGTATCACATGTTTATGTTATGAATCAATGAATATCAGCGTAGTTGTATGTTAATGAACTTGTCAAGCTTAACGTTCGGATGTTTCCGTTCACAAGTGACTAGATTGAATAGCACTCGAGGAGCTTCATTAAAGATGGATTCTAATACCGAACTACTTTTCGAGTACACTACCTTACTTCTTATCTGGACTTTATATTCAGATAATTTTATATATTTTGTTAATGGTATGCACCTCTTATTTTGACATACATTGATTTAAATTATAGAGCTTTGCATTTTATGAACTTAATTAATATTTTTTATCCATTATGACGAGAAGTTAAATTATAATTACTCTTTGTTCAAGTCACTTTCGATTCAAATTAGTTTTGATATGAACTAAATTAGGTATGAGTTCATGTTGATCTAACTAAAATTCAAGTCAATTTTAGTTCAAATCAATTTGTTTCAAATTTCAACTCAAATTTGGGCTATTATACTCGAATCTATATCAAATGTCAAGTTGGGAGTTCAAATCAAATTTGCTAGATCCAAGTCTATGGTTGTAATTGAGCATTTGGGCTTTGAACAATTCTTGTAATTTGCTTGGACCTTTGTAGTGAAATGAAACATTATTGACCAAGAAAAAGAAGACACCATAAGACAACCTTTTTTATGGTATAAAATCTGGAAAACTTTTATTTAGGAAAACATCAGTTAACACCTCACTCATTAGAAGACATTTAGGAAACCATGTTAGGTATTGAGCTATACTTCTGATTCAAACACAGTTGTTATCAGAAACACATAGTAAACTGCTCTACAAAGTTCGCTTCGTTTTTCTACACACCAGAGCATTAGGGTACCAGAATCCGATCACATTAACCTCACTCCTTGGCTTCTTGTTTCTTATCTTTAGAACTGAGATACCATCCCACAGCGGCACCGAGGGTTGCAACACCAGCCAGAACATAATTCCGAAACTTATCGCTTGAAGCTTTCTCAGCAGATGCTCTGGATGTTGAGGTAGTGCCACTGAGATTAGCATCAGCTGCAGTACCCCCTAAACCTGAATCGGATTTCTCCCTTGGCTTCTGTTCCTGAAATATTTCAAGAATTCTTTGAATGTTTGACCACTATTCTTACACAAAAACCCTAATCATTAAACCGTTACAGAATTCAGTCGTTACCATTTGATTGACAGAAAATCATGACCAAGTGAATTGCCATAGCGCATCAGCAGCTGCTAATATAAAGTTCATGACTGTACGACAGAGACTGTATGGGCGTGCAAAGTTGCATGTGAAAAGTGTTTGTGCATGTATCATTGTGGGAATAAAAATTTTGAGCATACCCACAGATTTTAGGTCAAGATAGATCAACATAACAATTGATATGAGCATACCTGCGTGCAAGTTTCTCCAATTTCTCTCGTTCAGTTTTCTGCAATAAACATAGAAAAACAAAGTAAATAGACATGTTCTAGGACATTTTGCAGAACTGATGAAGAGGAAGAGAGAAAAAGCGGAGAGGGAAAAGTAGAGATGATGGAGACCAGCTTGATAGATCGACCAGCAACATTGGTCACAAACTTCTATGATGCATAACATATATAAACCAACACCGTTATGATGGACAAGCCTTGAACATCATTGATTTCCATGAAATCTATAATATTTTCCATTTGAATTACATGCATTTAAACTCAGAAACTAACACTAGACCATTTCAAAGATATTACTTACAATACCCAAGGCAGCAATGCAAGGACTCTAAAACACAAAGTAATCCGACCCTGGCATGAGAAAAAGAAGAGACCAAGGAAGATAACAATCGTCACATTTTACATTTACTGGGCCAGCATTTATGATGTCAAGACCTTAGATACCCCTTCTCACTGTCTGGCCAAAAATGGATGATCCAGTTTCCAGACCATTGAATCTCACCGGACCTATATTCTACAGACTATTATGATCATTATCAACTTATTTATAATTCCAAGTTGAATCTATAGGAAATCATTAACAACTCGACACTGCACAGTCCTAAACACAACCTAGTAGGGAAAGGGAAAAATAATTAAATCTATGGGAATTAAATAAAATGAAAGGAGTTCAAGAAAAAATGATTATCATAACGTCAACACAAACTAAGAACTCTGAGCTTACACCAAAATAACTACGCTAATGGTACATGATGAAAACAGCCTGAAAAGATCGAGTACCTGGATGTAAACATTTTCAGCAGCCTTTTCTTCCTCACTGAGTACCTTCCCACTTCCACTCGAGAACCTACGAGAAATGTATCTGACAGCCGTTCTGGTTGCCATAGTGTTGACTATATAATCCCTGCAATCAGTATAACATAGACAATCATGTAACCAAAAGGAACAAAACCAATAATCTCATTGTATTACCACCATCAAACAAAGTCAATTCCTCACACATAATGGAAATTATGGTCAAATTAACTACGATTCAAAAATATGAAAGTCACATCAACTTCATATAAAGGTTATCAAACAATGTTCTAAAACTAATCAAACCATAAGGCTCTGGAGACCTAAAGGACTAAAACATGAAAAAGTCAAAGGAAAAACTTCATTTCTAAGCATTTTAAACTAAAACCCATGTTCTATTTTCCATTCATTTAATTCATTTCCGGTTTTCTTTCATTTCGTAAATCCGGTAAAGCCCGGGAAGGATCAAATCGAGCATTACATAATTCATCAGATTTGGTAACAATAAGTAGACAAAAAAAATTGCAAAACTTGGATTAAACGATAAAAAAGGAGTAATTAGTAGACAAGAAAAAGCAAACAAAAATGGGGTGAGAGAAATTGCTTACGGAGCAGCAGAACTGAAGTGATGAAGACTTGAAGATTCGTTGTGGAAAAGGTATGAAATAGGGTTGTTAGCAGGGATTTTAAATTGGGCCTATTTTCGGATTGGTTTTACCAAAGAAAAGCCTATCAAACTGTTATACTCGTCACCAGGGGCGAACCTTGAGGTAATATAATAGTGTCTAATAATTTTTTTTTTGGAAGGTCTACTCTTTTTTAAATTTTTATTGAGAGATTTAACTTATATTTCATTTTAAAAAATGAAGATCTAATTAATTTTTTTAAAATATCAATTTTGAGGGATTAATTTAAAATATTCAAAAGTTTCAAGATTTTATGAGAATTACTAATAAATTTGAGGGGACCTAATTAAATTTTCAAAAAGATATAAGAGGTGTAATTTAAAATTCCTAAAAAATTAAAGGTGCTAAAACTATCCGACTCTTTTTACCATCTACGTAATTTTATCCAAATATCACCCAAAAAGAATAAAAAGCTCCATTATTGCACCCTTTTATGTACTAAACTATCACCCTTTTTGACAAAAGTGTAAGAAGACACATCTCACAAAATGAGTCTTTCAAAGGCATGTTTCACAAAATGAGTTTTTCTCGAGTTTTGATGATGTAGCGTTACACGTGGAAGGCGCGTCCCACGAAATGAGCCTTCCTTGAAAAGCTATTTTCTTAAAACAAGTATTCTTTATTAATACCATATCTAATTTAGGGTTAAGATTTTGTTAAGCAATTCTAGGTTTTTAAAAAAAATATTTTAGGATTAGGTTAAAATTAAAAACTTTAACCATTAGAATTAAACCCTAAACCAAAAATAATAGACCCTAAACATGAATATAAAATTATAAACATTTAACACTAAACCCTAAATAAAAATAGTAAACAATAAACCATCAATTCTCGCCAAAGTTTTCCGCTCAACTTAGTGTAACACACTAAACCTGATTGGGCCTAAAGTGACACACTTGGTTGTCGAGACAACCCTTGATTTCTAAAAATTGTTCATTTACATTTTAAAACATACTATAAGGTATCAAAATAAACATACTATATGGTATCAAAATAAACATACATGACAGTTATAAAAATATTTTATAAATCAGAGCTCCGTGACACATTATTTTAAATAAAAAAAATAATACAAACTTAGAATTTGATAAACCAAATACATGAATAAGGTTCTATGAATACATATGACTACTAAAGTTATAGTATAATACTCTGAGGAAGATGTTGGAAGTCCTGTTGCGACGATACTCCTCGAACTGCTCAAGCTAATAACCTTTGAACGAGAAAATATTCGAAAGCTAAACTTTTAAAGACCAATAATATAATTGCTAATCTAAAGCAGCATTATGAATCACATAAACATAAACATGATAAAAACATGGTACTAAGCAGTAGGTACATACATGATCTTAACCAAGTGATACATACTTTAAGGTTTTATTGTTCTATCGCTGAAGTAGATGTCTCATGCTTCCCTTAATCCCTTGCTAAGGGCCTCGCCATGAGTACACCTCTATTAGGTCTCTACCCACACTAACTGTAATTTCTTTACATTATCTAAATATGACATTGACACTGTTATGCATTATCTGAATACAACAGTAACTCTGTTGTTCATTATCTGAATACAACATTAATACTGTTGTGCATTATTTGAATGCAACACTGCTAGTATCTGGTCAATCATAGCTATAAGACACTAGTTAACTAAGGGAATCCGATGCCACATAGCATCGGTGAAATTTCCACCAAGATGTTGAATGATCTCCTGGTCTCACATAGCCATCAGATAGATCATGGATAGGGAACTTGGTCATCACTTACCAATTGGTACAATTCTCGCTTAACTAAAGCATTGGCTCGATCTCACACATCGGTTAAACCAAGCTCTAAGGGTATCTACTGTACTGGACTGGTGCAACTATACATGCATGACAGAGGGCTCAAGGCCTCAAAACACTGACAACGCTCCACTAGGGCAACTAAGGTAAACTAATTACACACTAGTGTAGCTCGACATACTAAAGTGAGGTTGAACCCTCACTAGCTATTATCTCGCTCGTTTTCTCTTCTAGAACGTTGTGCAAGGGTTTATTAATATATTATTCTGATAATTTATTATGGTATTCTATTATGGTTATTAACACTTAAGGGTATTTTAGTAAATTTTTTCTCTAAAGAGGTCTCTATGCGTTTTATGATTTTACGATGATTATTTTGTTTGTTATTCATTGCTTGTAATACTAGCTAGCATGATTCTTGACGCGAGTTCATTATTGGGCAGCGACACTTTAGTCGTTTTTATCGCACTCATCTTCAATACCCTTGAATTAGAGGGACGACTTATATGTTCTCGGTTCATTGACGTTCTTGGAGTACACAATTTCACTATTACGTAATATGCTTACTTATCGTACTACTTGTTGGTACATTCTCTGTAACGATTCTTGTTTTTAATTATTTGATACGTGCTCGATTGAATATACTTGGATGTATTACGCCTAACATGGTTACTTCGGTTGTACCTCACTTCTAAACATGATTCTAGGCATATTTTGCCATTTAAGTTCCTTACGGACCTAGCCTCATCATTTCGGGTCATCCTTAATTCTTACAGGCCTTAACGAAGTCGAATTGAACCATCCAAAATGGGTAATATCAATACCCTACATGTAATATCAATACTCTTATGTCAAGTATCGATTCTCCTATGAGTATCAGTAAAAAAAATGGTTATCAGATTATAAAATTTACCCCAATATCAATATTGTTACCCTCAGTATCAATACCAGGGCTACAATATTAATAATACTCCTTAGAGTATGATACTCTTCTTGTATTTTACCTAGAAATCAATCAAATTCATCTAGTATCAATATTGATTGTTCATTCAATATCGATACTTGAGCCCATAAATGTCTTGTTTAAGCTCAGAAAACACACAAAAATCATCCCAAATGTCTTAGTTTGGTTCCTAATAATGTGCTAAAGCTTTAGGAGGTTACTTAGGATCTTAAAGTGGTATAAAAACAAATTTAATCATAAATCAAACATAAACCCTAAAATGCTAAAAAACACAAATATTAGCAAATCTTCATGCTTATTAAAGCCTTAACACTCCAATGGATTAGAAATATCTACCTTACTATTAGTGTAATACCCCAAATTTTGGTTAGTGATTAAAATATAAGTTTTGAAAGTTTAGTGGCTAAAGTATAAACTTTGCAAAAGTTAAGAGACCAAAAATGTAATTTTGAAAAAGTATATATTTTTAGCCCTTAAATGAAAAGTTTGTCATAAAACAAGAATTTTTCATGAGAATCAGATTTTCGATACGTGATTTGTATTAAAAGTTATAAAGCGAAATAGTTCGGTATAGAAATTTGATAATCAAATCAAATTGAAATTTCACAAAATTTGAAGGATGTTAGATAAAAGTTGGAAATATTATTTCCATATTTTAGATCAGTGAAATTTAGCATGGATAAGTGGAATTGAAGTTAATATTTTAGATTTGGTCAAACAGTGAGAGTTTAGTGACTAAAATGCAATTTTTGAAAATTACATGCCAAAGTAGAAAGTCAAAGTCAAATTGGGTGGTTGAAGAACATGTTTGATTTTGAAGATTTGAAGGAAGATTTTTATGTTATTGAAGTTGCTGAATATTTCTAAAGCACGAGTGATATTTAAAATCAAGTGTAGAAGCTTAAATCATGTTAGGCCATGGTTAGGGTTTATAGAGTTGATTTAATTTTAATTAAATTTGATGTTATGAAGACTATAATAGCATGAATTTAATATTAGGAGGTTGAATTCATGCTTGAAAGTGAATGGAAAGTTTACCCTAGCTATTTTATGATTTTCGGCCATAGGGAAATAATTAGGGGGAAATGTTGAAAATTTTCCTATGGTCTAGAATTGATATTAGAAGTGTTCTATGTGTTTTGGATATCAATTTGGAAGCTTGAAATAGGAAAAGAGTTATTTTACAAGTTTTGAGAACTTTGGGATATTATTGCATAAATGGGTTAATTGGGGTGTTCAATGTTGAATTTTAATATTGAAATGTTGGAAATTAAAGTTAGAAATTTGTTTGGAACCAAATTACAAAATTGGTAAAATATGATGGTGGAATTTAAAAGGTCCTAGGAATTTAGGGACTTGGTTGTAAGTTTGTAAATGTGATGGCATGATTTTGTTAAGAAAATTTCAATGCTGGAAATTTTATTAGCATGCTTATTTTGAGTTTAAATATTGGTTTGGGATCAAATTAAAAGTTTATTATAGTGGATTGTTGAGTTCGAAAAGTTTAAAGAAATTGAGGATGAAATTATAAGTTTTCAAATATTTGAGGATTGATGTGAGTATATTATCAAGGTGCTGGAAATTTTAGTAAATTATGTGAAATGATCATAATGTTGAATGATCATTATGAATTAAATAGAAAGGTTGATATGAATTCTAAAAAAGAATTCATAATTAGTGGCTTGATAATGAAATGGGCAAAAGTTGAAGGG